CTTCCGAGGAGTGGCTGGTGGGTTTGAACCGCCAGCCTTCTGGTTAGCAGTCAAGTGCCTTAGGCACTATGCTACCAGAGCTCCTGTGAAACATCATTAGTCATCAATAAAATATAAATCAAAGTGTAATGAGATATCACTTCATACCCAGTAAGATGGCTAGAATCTAAAAGGCAGATAATTATAAATGTTGGTGAGGATATGAAAGAATTAGAATTTTCATAAACAGCTGGTGGGAATGTAAAATGGTGCAGCTGTTTTGGAAAACAGTCTGTTAGCTACTTAAATGGTTAAACATTAGAATTTCCATATAACCCAGCAATTCTTCTCCTAAATAAATGGGAATATATGTCCATAGAAACTTGTACACCAGAGTTCATAACATCAGTGTTCATAATTGCCTTCAAATGTGGAAACTACCAAAATGTTCGTGAGCTGAGGAATATAAACAAACTGTATGTCCCTACAGTGGAATATTAGGAGCTCTGGTGGTATAGTGGCTAAATCATTTGGCTGCTAACCAAAAGGTTGATGGTTAGAGCCCACCGGCTGTTCTGCAGGAGAAACATGAGGCAGTCTGCTTCAGTAAAGATTTACAGCCATATAGAAACCCTATGGTGCAGTTCTGTTCTGTCCTAAAGGGTCACTATGAGTCAGCATTGACTCAGTGGCATTGGATTTGGATTTTTTTTGTACAATGGAATAGTATTTGATAATAAAAAGGGATGACGTTATGATTCACACTACAACATGGATGAATCTTGAAAACATACTAAATGAAAGAAGCTGGTCATGAAGGCTGCATATTTTATGATTCCATTCATATGAGATGTCAAATAAAAATTAGAAGCTCAAACGTTTGGAGGCTACTAACATGGACATGATTTAAGAAAGATTAACTATAAAACCAATTTTCATTGGAACTACAAAACGTAGTGAGGCAAATCATAAACAAAGACCAGGCTTACTGGTCTGATGAAGGTTGGTGGAACCTGTAGACCATGGCCCTTAGACACCCTTCAAGCTAGGAACTGAACTTAACCCCTGTGACTCAATTGTCAGCCTAATGATAGACACCCTTATAAGGTGAACAGTAATACCAGGAGGGTATACACTCATTAGAACAATCAAGCTTATGAGATCAACAGGATGGCATTTGCCCAGGTATAGAGCTAGAGTTAAACAGACACAATTTAGTCACTTAGGCTAGGGGATGTAAAGCACCTGGCAAAGGAAGTTTGTCTCATCAGTTGTAGTGCTAGTGGGATACACAAAGCATACGCCTAGTGTTAAGCTTACAGCCCTAGTATTAAGCCTAATATTAAGCTTACGGGGTATAGGCGAGTAAAATGGTGCACCTACTTTGGAAATAGTCTGGCTTTAAATTAGCTTATGACTAATTTTTCTAACAGTATTCTAAGTGCCTTTGGGCAAGCAGGATGATTTTTAGCAGACCTTTGCCTGGTCTCCTTGGGCACAACTGTGTGACTAAAAACAGATCAAGAAACATATATTTGTTTTGTTGGACAATTTTGCATTGTATAGTCATGGGCAAAGCAGTGGACACCATTCCCTCATTTAGCAAATATTTTTTGAGCACCAGCCATGTGCCAGGCACTATGCTAGGTATTGGAGACAGAGAGGTGACTAATAGAGAACTAGCCATTTGGTTGACTGCTGCCTTGTGGGATTTACTCAGGGAGCTCTGATAGTATAGTGCCTAATGCACTTGACTGATAACCAGACGGCTGGTGGTTCAAACCCACCAGCATTCCTCAGAAGGAAGATGGGGCAAGCTACTTCCATAGTGATACTGCCTCAGAAACCCAAGGAGGGGTCACTATGAGTCAGGTCCGACTCGATGACACATAACAACAACAACAACAAAAGGACCAAGGACCATGTTAGACCTCAAGTTTCATCTGTTACTCCTACTTCTTGCACACACATCTCAGGAGAGCTTGTGAATTTATAAAGCAATGACACATGAGTGCATAATGAACTGTACAGTACATACCTAACTGTAGCTTTAAAGCTTTCTAAAGGTTTCTGCTTTCAAGCCTGAGGCCATTTGTACTTCTGTTGCATTGTGGTTTGACTCTTTAAAATTTAAAATGGCAAGACTATCAGTATATCTGTCTTGCCAGTGTACAGTTGGTATTAAACAAAAATAAAACTGTGTAGTAGAGTATAGCTGAATGGCAACCTACTCTGGGATTAGATGTTTTAGTGTCTCAACTTTAACATATATCAGTGGCTTTTCAGAAATTTTTAGATTCATCTAAGAAAAATGAGGTATTAGTAAACTTAGACTATAATAAGCAAGTAGTTAAGTTTTTGTTTCAAAATAAATTAGACCTAAAATTTTTGGAAGGCTAAAAATATCTAGACTATATAATACCATATCATTAATCCAAATGATATCATGAAGCTAAAATACCAGAGCCACTGTCATCATCACTGAAAGCAGCATGTTCTGGTTTCATATTAGCCCTTTATCTTAAGAATGTTCAAGAGAAATACAAAATTTCCTTGTTGTACAATGAATGACTGAGAATAAAAAAAAATTACCTATGTTTAGTAACTTTAAGATTTCCAGAAATTGCTCTAAAATACTAAACCTGACACCTTGTGTAATATATATTGCTTGTGTATAATCTGTGTGGCTTGTGGGTTGCAGCATGTGCTGCAACAATAAAATGGTTTATTGTTTCTGTTTCCCTCGGAAGTCTGTCATGCTGTGTCATGGAGCGAAAATAGGATTTTTCCAAGGAGATATCAGGCTGCTTATGGATGACCTCAAGGTGCTTCAGCCTACTATTTTCCCTGTAGTTCCCAGACTGCTGAACCGGATGTTCGACCGAGTAAGTTCCACAGGCAATGTATAGGTAACAGAGCAGTGGACTTTGAGTCAGAGTCTGGGTTTGAATTCTGCTCAGCTGTGTACCATCTGTGTGATGTGGACAGTCTTCTGAATCTCACAGAACCACCATTTACTCATCAGTAAAATTAGAATACATTGACCCCACAGAGTTGTTGATAAGGCTTATGTGAAAAAACACGCTTGAACTCACTTTGGTATGATACAGGTGTAAGGTGGGAGGTCATTTTGTTTTTACAGTAATCTTTGAGCTTCTGTTTTCTCATCTATAAAAGCAGCTATTATATTCTTTCCCCTCTTGTATATCTCATAAAGTTGGTAATTGGCTCACATGAAAATAATAACTATATAATGATATTATTAATTTTAAAGTTCATACCAAAACCAAAAAAACCCAAACTCACTGCCTTGGAGATAAACCTGACTCATAAAGGCTGCTCCTTGGGTTTCCAAGGCAGTATCACTATGGAAGTAGATTGCCCAACCTTCCTTCCAAGGAGTGGCTGGTGGCTTTGAACCTCCAGCCTTCTGGTTAGCAATCAGATGCCTTAGCCACTGTGCTAAGTTCATGTTGTTGTTGTTATTTGACCTCAAGTCAGACCCGACTCATAGCAGCCCCTTCTTGGGTTTCCCAGGCAGTATCACTACAGAAGTATATTGCCCAGCCTTCCTTCCAAGGAGTGGCTGGTGGCTTTGAACCGCCAGCCTTCTGGTTAGCTGTCAGGTGCCTTAGGCACTGTGCTACCAGAGCTCCTGCTAAGTTCATACACAAATACTATAGTAAAACCTGTGAAAGCTGGAATCTGTGTAAGGTGGAAACCTCAAATATTTTCACCAATAGACAGTGATAGAAAAATAGTAAGACTGTACCCTGTCACGGGCAGAAAATATAGGAGACCCAGAAAAACAAGGCAGTGCTGTCGAGTTTCGGCTCTCAGAGGTTTCATTGTATTTACTTAGCTATATTGAGAGTCCCTGGGTGCTGCAAACTGTTACTGTACTTGGCTACTAACCAAAGGTTGGAGGCTCAAGTCCCCCTGGAGGTTCCTCAGAAGGAAGACTTGGCGATCTACTTCTGAAAACTCGGCCACTGGAAACCCTGTGGAGCACAGTTCTGCTCTGACACACATGGGGTCATCGTGAGTTGGAATTGAGCCAAGGTGGGACTGACAGAATGCCAGCCCTTCTGTGGTTGCCCGTTATGTCAGGGACTGTATTCCAGGGCAAGACCAGTGTGCAGCATGAGCAGCGCCCAGAATGGATTTGGACTGGGCAGTTTGAATACTCTTCGTGTTGAGTCAGGGCTTCTGTCTCCTCTGAGAACCTTCCTACTTCTTCACTCATTAGATTTTTGGACAAGCAAACACCACACTGAAACGGTGGCTGTTAGACTTTGCCTACAAGAGGAAAGAAGCAGAGCTTCGCAGTGGCATCATTAGAAACAATAGCCTGTGGGATAAACTCATCTTCCACAAAATACAGGTAACACATGAACTCACAACTGTTATTTTTTAGGTAAACTGATTAGGGTTTCAAAATTTCTATGAGGATTTTCTTTTGTTTTCTTTTCTTTTGTGAGGTAGAGAGGTGAGAGAGAGAATGAAATATTTTTATTAATTCTAGCACATTTCTAAAAATTAGGGACAAAGCCTCTAAATAAACCTTGGCATCCAAGATAAATTTGAACAGTATTGTAGCTACATAGGGCATTATAGCATTACATTTCTTCATTTTGCTTACCTTTTCTAGAATAAATATGCCATTCTCATGGTAATTTTTTTAGGCATTATAGCCAAAAAAAAACAAAAATTATTCTAATTGCCACAAATCCACCGGACTCTTGTTCTAGTGGGTGTATTTCTACACCCATTGAGAATGAATGAAATGTTAAGGGTAGAAACAAACTCTTAACTTTGTATTCCTATTATGAACATCTGTGAGGTTCTCAGTGCATTGTCCTAAGTATGAGTTCAGGTGTGGGTATAGTGGATTAGAGCATGGGGATTCTAAGTAGATACCTTTCAATGAGGAGGCACCTACTTCTAGATATTTAACACGGGTTTCCTCTCCTCTCTCCTTCCCTTGTAAGTCAAGTCTGGGAGGAAAAGTCCGATTGATGATCACAGGAGCTGCGCCAGTGTCTTCCACAGTGCTAACGTTTCTAAGAGCTGCGCTTGGCTGTCAGGTGAGGTGGGACTTCCTGTCAGACTTTTTATAATGCTGAATCATCTTCTTTATGAAAAGCTATTTTTTAAATTGTCTTTGTATGTGTCTTACTGTTGTTTGGAAAGTCATGTTATTCCTAGATTGCTTGGAGAAATAAGTACATAATTTTTTACTCTAGGCAAGGGAATATGTGTTTAGGCCCACCATTTGTGTAATATTCTCCAGGATCAGGTACACAATTTAACATTTAGTGTCAGGCATGATTATAGGAATGGATCACAAGTGATAAACCAGCCTGGTCTCCATGCAGAGAGCATCTTTTAAAGGGTGCTGGAAGATAGCTGAGAATTAGTGACAAATAGAGCATGTGCAAGGCAGAGCCAGGAGCTGTCAAAGCAGCTGAAGAGGTGACCACTCAAGGTGGGTGGTTCGCAGCATGACCTGTGACATGGTGTTCTCGTTTGCTGTCTGCAAGAAGTTAAGTAGAAAATGAATGTGGATGGTAGCTGGTGTTTGGAATGGGAGCAAAGGTGTTTGGGTGCCATATAAAAGGATGATTTAGTATTGAATGAATTTACTGAACAGAAAATTTGAAGAGAGATTTCACCCTAGTCTGCTATTACATAGGAGTTAGAAGAACTTAATTACTTTTGCTCCCAGCAAAGGTGTAACTGTCACCCCTTTAATAATGTCTCATCTATCGGTGACCCAGTTTTATGAAGGCTATGGACAGACAGAGTGCACTGCTGGTTGCTGCCTGACTATGCCTGGAGACTGGACAGCAGGTATGATTGGTACAAGAGTCTGTATGGGAATGAGGTTATGGGCACTGGGTTATTAGAATTATTGGAATTGATTCATCACTGATTGATTGTCGTTGTTGTTATGTGCCATCAAGTCAGACCCGACTCATAGCGACCCCTCCTTGGGTTTCCGAGGCAGTATCACTACGGAAGTAGATTGCCCCATCTTCCTTCCAAGGAGTGGCTGGTGGGTTTGAACCGCCAGCCTTCTGGGCACTGATTGATTAGCCCGCTTAATTAATTGCTACTTCGTCTTAAATTATTAGGCCTTGGGGCAGACAAGCTTGGAAATTAGGTGGCTGTGTGTGAAATGGCTCTTGTGGCACAGTGTAGTAGAAAGCATGGTGGCAGTAGAGCTTGGCCTTTTACACCAGATTTGGAATGTTTGGCCCCAGCAGATCTTGCCAGTAATTGATTAGATAAATAATTGGTCTAATTATTTGTATTTAGTTTAATTAGTTATACTTAATTATGTGTGTTTAAAACACAAATAGTTATTAAATTTACACTGTACTGATGGCTTGTACTAGGTGTTGTGATTACAGATATAAATCAAATACAGACCTTTTTTCCCTAAAGGAAAAAGAGGGAAGGCAAAGAGAAAAATAATTCATTGTGTACCTGTCACAGATAAGGTTCTGTGTTAGGTGTTTAAGATGTAGGTTATGTGAGTTTAATCCCAACAACATCCTGGTGAGATGTGATGTAACTGTAGATTGTTGTCTAAACAGCATGGAGCCAGGATTCCAACTTGAGTCTGATTACAAAACTTCTATGCTTTCCTCTATGCCACGCTGAGAGTACTTTACACAGTAGTAATGAACTTCCTCATTTATATTGGGTGCTATGAATATTACTGCTATCAGGAGCTGTGGTGGCATAGTGCCTAAGGCACTTGACTGCTAACCAGAAGGCTGGTGGTTCAAACCCACCAGCCACTCCTGCAAAGGAAGATTGGGCAATCTACTTCCATAGAGATACCCCCGCAGAAACCCAAGGAGGGGTCTCTATGAGTCGGATCTGACTTGACGGCAGTGCTTTGGGTTTGAGCAATATATTGTTCTGTTGGGATTGACACTGACAGTCTATGCATCTTCTTCACAGTGTTTGTTTAGTTTTTAACCCCAGGTTTCTGAACAACTAGAGAAGATGAAACAACTAGGAACAATTATTTGTGAAGCTCTTAAAATGCATCTAATTTCTGTTAATACTGTTTTTGAAGAAGACAACCCAATCTTAACACCCTTTGACAAGAGAGTTAATTCAATTACGACTATCCTGTATTAATAAGCTTAAATATAAAACATGTTTATCTATACTGATCCATCAATAAAGGCCATATTGATCAGAATTGGGTGTTGAGTCACAGAATAATCAAAGTTTGCCAAAGATGCATATGTTCTCTTTGTGGAGAATAGGGACAGTAAGAAGTTGGTGTGAGGGAGGGGAGGTTAAAAAGGAATGACAAAGGGACCTTCAGATTATCAAAGCCCCATAAAACTTTCAGAAAGCTTGCTTGCAGGTATTCACACCTTAAAATCTACATCCTAATTATTTATAAAGGGACCAGGTTTGCTGGTCTGATAGAGCCTGGTGGAACCCCTGAGACTAGCCCCTAGCTACCCTTCAGGTCTGGAATTGAACCCACTCACGTGGCTTCCAGCCAAACAAAAGACAGGCATATGAGCTGAACATTTACATTAGGTAGATACACTTCTTGGAGAGATCAATCGTGGGAGAATAGAAGGTCTATGTATGCACAGGGAGACAGCTCAGGGGGAGCAGGAGTGCATGGAGGGAAGGACACAGGGAAGAGGTAACTATGGGAAGGAGGTGGGAGGGGAGCTGTTACATTGTGGGAAATTACAGTCAATATCATCAGACAAAGTGTATGTGAGCTGCTATATGGAAAACGAATTTGCTCTTTAAACTTTCACCCAAATCACAATAAATTTTTTTTAAAATCTACATACTAATTATTTATACTTTGAAAAGTAATCCAGAGCATCAAATTTAAGAAGTGCCCTGAAGAGATTTTTGAATATGTTAGTCTCTATTCTAGGAATCAACTCTGAATTAATTTACGAGGGGAACAATGGCTGTAATTACAGAAACCAAAAGTTTATATCAGGGTTGTTTTTTTGTTTTGTTTTTTATTGCAAGGAGCCTTGTGTATTATAAAAATAACATGAAGGCTGACCAAGGATATTATAAGTGATAATTCTTTTATTTAATATATAGGCCATGTTGGTTCTCCAATGCCTTGCAGTCATATTAAACTTGTTGATGTAGAAGAAATGAATTACATGGCTGCCAAGGGTGAGGGTGAGGTGAGTGGAATCACATCAGTCATTCACACTTCATGCCATTTCGTCTAATAACCAGCCTTTAGGAATGCAGGGCTGTTTCCCGACACAGGGTCATATGGAGCTACTAAGCTTGATGTTATTGTTCTGGACTTCTTTATGAAGATACTTTATGTTTAATACTCAGGGGCATGCTGACACCTACCTTCTGCCAGACATGATAGGGGCTAAGGTCCAAGAGCACACTGAGGCTCCAGCGGCCTAAGTCTTCGGGGCACATCTCTGCTAATTGCCCTGGATACCTATTAATGAGCTACTGGCTACTAATGGTAAGCCTAATTACTTAAAAGTGATTTTAACCCCTTTGGGGCTTTCCAGGAGCTTTGAGGCAGGACTTAGGCAAACATTAGTCCTATAATTTGACTGCAATGAAAGTGACTAAGAATAGGAAGTGGGATCATTGGGGTTGCTTATAAGATCCCAGTGGAGTCTGATAGTTCCCTCTGGATGGCAGTATTCAGGGCTTCTTGCTAAAGGTTGGGTTTCCCACATACACACACCCCAATTTTTTTTTCTTTCAGAGAAACCCCAGTAAATGCTATTAACAGGTCATCTTTTTTTCTTCAGGTGTGTGTGAAAGGGCCAACTGTATTTAAGGGCTACTTGAAGGACCCAGCAAAAACAGCAGAAGTTTTGGATAAAGATGGTTGGTTGCACACAGGAGATATTGGAAAATGGTTACCAGTAAGTTGTCACCTTCCCTGTTCACAAATTGTGTTGTTAGTGTAGGGAAAAAAATGTCTTGTATACTGTACAGCTGCCATGTTACACCCTAACTTTTCTCTTTCCCTGTCTCCTCACTGAGTGTTATAATGTAGACTTCATTTGCTGCAGCAAACAGGTTTATACTCTTAGAATACTTGTTTAGAATTTTCCCTTAAACTCTAGCAAATATATTTTGTTTTGATGTTTTCTGTTTGAAATTCTGCTTGCTGCTTTCTGTTTGAAATCAAAAGAGATTATGGCTTGTTACATACAATACAGACACTGTGGCTTGATGTTGACACTTTGGTTAAACTAGGCAGCTGGAAAGTGTGGTAGCCTTCCTGGGATGTATGAATAGCAAGAACCTGTGAATAAATGTGTTTCTTAGGTTTTTCATCTCATTAAACATAGAGTGTTTCATGGTCTAAACCAACTCATGTTGAGTTTCGTTTCAGAGCCATTTGCTGGAGAGAAATTCCAGAGAGAGTTTATAAGTAAGAGGCTTATGCAAGAAGACTTATTTGTCCTGCTTAGGTTTGACCAGTTCTTGTTGCTGTAGTAACAGGCACTGCTATTTCTAAACCATTGTTGTTGTAAGGTTCCGTCAAATCAGTTCCAACTCAGTAACACCGTTCCCAACAGAACAAAACACTATCCGGTCCTATGCCATCCTCACAATTGGCCATCCCCATTTTTGCAGCCACTGTGCCAGTCCATTTCATTGAGGGTCTTCCTCTTTTTCCCTGACCTCCACTTTGCTAAGCATGATGTCCTTCTCTAAGGACTTGTCCCTCCTAAGGGACAAGTAATTTATGTTACATGTCCAAAGTATGTCAAAGTCTCACCATGCTTGTTTTTAATGGAGCATTCTGGCTGTACTTCTTCCAAGACAGATTTGTTCCTTCTAGCAGTCTATGATTTATCAACATCATAATTCAAAGACATCAGTTCTTTGGTCTTACTCATTGTCCAGCTTTCATGTGTATATGAGGCGATTGAAAATACCTTGGTGTGGGTAAGGCATACCTTAGTCCTCAAAGTGACTAACATCTTTGCTTTTTAACACTTTAAAGAGGTCTTTTGCAGCAGATTTGCCCAATGCAATGCATTGTTTGATTTCTTGATTACTGTTTCCATGGGTGTTGATTGTGGATACAAGTAAAATGAAATCATTGATAACTTCAGTCTTTTTTCCATTTATCATGATGTTGGCTTTTGGTCCAGTTGTGAGGATTTTTGTTTCCTGTATGTTGAAGTGTAATCCATATTGAAGGCTGTAGTCTTTGATCTTCATCAGTAAGTGTGTCAAGTCATCTTCACTCTCAGCAAGCAAAGTTATGTTGTCTGCATATCTCAGGTTATTAATAAGTCTCCAATCCTGATGCCACATTCTTCTTCTATAGTCCATCTTCTTGGATTATAAGTTCAGCATATAGATTGAATAATTATGGTGAAAGGATATAACCCTGACTCTCCTAGCATAGTGCCTAAGGCACTTGACTGCTAACCAGAAGGCTGACGGTTCAAACCCATCAGCCACTTCTTGGAAGGAAGGTTGGGCAATCTACTTCCGTAGTGATACTGCCTCAGCAACCCAAGGAGGGGTCGCTATGAGTCGGGGCCGACTCAACGGCACGTAACAACAACAACAACACAACATTCCTGATTTTAAACCACTCCATATCCCCTTGTTCTATTCGAATAAGCGCTGGTATTTCTAAACTGTTCGTGTTTAATTGCAAGCACTAAAATGGCTAATTTTTATTACCATGTATGATCAAATTGTTGTAAATTTAAGGTGCTTAATCCTCGGAAGGAAGGTTGGGCAATCCTACTTCCGTAGTGATACTGCCTCGGAAACCCAAGGAGGGGTCGCTATGAGTCGGGTTTGACTCGACGGCACATAACAACAACAACAACAACTCTGGAATTTTTGTTGAGAAAAATGGCACCAAAAAGCAATTCAGATTACAGAATGCTCAACTTTAGACATAAAATCAAATCCCCCTTTTCAGGTTTAAGAGATATTAAGTGTTAGTTCTAATTCTGGCTCCAGTGAGCACATCATAGCCTGTCTTGACCTCAGCTTGCTCCTTTTTAAGATGGAGAAGTGGTGTGGAATGAGAGAATTCTAGAATCTTTCCAGCCGATGAGTTTTGGAGGCATGACAATAGCCCAAGGGTGGGGATGGGTAGAAATATAGGCTGGGTTTGGTTACCATTCTGAGGGTGGTGGTGGATACTACATTCATCTGGTTGATCTGGTTCAAGGAAGCTAACATACCAGCAGTTATTCAGTGTGGTCTTTTGTGCAAAGATCCAAAAGGCCAGGAGCACCCTCTTCTTCTCTGGGGTAGAGACCTAGAGAAACAATGACAGAGGAAACTGAAGTCCTGCCTTTGTGTAGTAAACATTTATTAAGCCTTCACTTTGTGCAGCAGACTGTGAGGGGATGAATAAGGTTATGTCTCTGCTCTCAAGGAACTTGACTCATTTGAAGAGTGAGATATGTATGTACCTAACTCAGATATGAGGCTATATGAAACAGGTCAAAATAAAGATAACAAGTAAGGTGCTACTGGTTGGCTGACAAGTCATTAATGCCAATTGGAGAAGTGAAGTGAGCATGCTCTATCTGTGCTTGACTAAATGTCTTTGGACACATTACTCAGTCTCTTAGTTTTCCTTTCTACAAAATGGGATAATATGGGACACCAGCAATATGTTATGAGAATTAAATGATAGTGCATGTAAAAACCATGTACTGCATGGGATCAATGCTGGGTGACAGCTTTCCCTGGGACCCACTCACAGCCTCCTTCCCTTTGATAAATAGAATGGCACCTTGAAGATTATCGACAGAAAAAAGCACATATTTAAACTGGCTCAAGGAGAATACATAGCCCCTGAAAAAATTGAAAATATCTACATACGAAGTGAACCTGTTGCTCAGGTGTTTGTCCACGGAGAGAGCTTGCAGGTATGTGCCTTCTGAGTTGTGAGCTCTGTTGCACAAACATTGCTAATGCCTTGTACTCCAGGAGCTTTTAATATGATCGAGAGCTTGAGCCTGATATGACTTAACTTTCACGTCTGGCATGCTTGAATGTCACTGATGCATTATTGGCTTTTGCTGCTTGATGTTTCTTATCCAGGAAACGTTTCCCTCTTTAATTTCAATATTTGTACTTTACCTAGAGGGCCTAGTGCACCAAGGGTAGTGTGGGAGTGGGTACTATTTGTTTTTAAATAACTTCATAATTGAAGGAAATATTGATAGGGAATTATTAAAAGGTTTAAAATTTTTAAACGTACCAGACTCAGCTTGTTAATTATATGCCTCCTAAATTATTTTTGAGCAAAGAGTAGTTGTGAACCAAAATATGCTCCAAGTCAAAATCATAGATACTACAGTAAAATATGTATTTGTTAAAATGTTGGGCAAATGGTTGTAAGGAAGAGAAGGCAGCATGGTTCCTTGAAAGTCAATCTTTTCTACAAATCTTTAATTTTATAATTGTATTCTCTTGTCTTATACAAGAATGTACCCACTTTTTTTTTTTTTTTTAGAATGCACTTATTTTTCTTTGACCTAGAATCTTCCCATGCTTTTGATTTTTATTCAGTTTTATTATATTGTAAAGGATGAATATTGGAGGGCTTTTTAAAAAGCAGTGCTTAGATATCTATCACTTTGTTTGCTTATCTGGTCCTGCTATATTTAAAAAAAAAATTATATATGTATATATACACACACACACACATAAAAGTAAATAAAAATTAAGCTTTTTGTTAGTCTTTGGTTCTTTAAAAACTTACTGTAGGATTCCTGATACCATCCATACATAGATACAAGGTTTTTAACCTTGGCTCAGTGGACTCTTGAGGAGGGTGGTGTGTTCTGAAGAGAGGGTCAGGCTTGCATTAGGTTCTCCCAGGGGCCCTTGATGCCGGAATAATTCAGAACTGCTATTTTAGAGCATTTGAATCAAGCCATGTAATAACTCCTTTATCTGTATTAAAGTCATTTCTCATAGCAATTGTGGTACCAGATGCTGAAACTTTATGTTCCTGGGCCCAAAAGAAGGGATTTGAAGGATCCTTTGATGAACTGTGCAGAAATAAGGTACAGTTCTAAAGTGTGCCGTCTGCCTTCTTTATCTAAATTTTACATTAAATGTCACTGTGGATGTCCAGGTATCTCCCACAGAGGAAATATTTTATTTTTGTCACCTTATTAGGATGTCAAAAAAGCTATCTTAGAAGACATGGTGAGACTTGGGAAGGATGCTGGTCTAAAACCGTTTGAACAGGTAAGACTTTGATCAAAGTACATAGACTCCTGTAAAACAAATTTTTGACTTGAAGATATTTTATAGATAAATTACACAAGAGAATAAGATGAACTAAAGCAATACATGAGCAGTCAGTGATGGAATGTTTTGGCAGGGGAGGGGATTTTTAACCGGGGCTGTTAATTCTCTCTTTTTGGAGGTCAGGATACAATCCTGCATTCTATCCTAAGAATAGAATACCTGCCTTTATGGTGAATGTTTAAATACAGTCTGGGGTGAGAGATGGATTGGCTCACCCATAAGGGTCTTCATACCTTTGGGTGGCTTATGTGCTTTCTAAGGAGCCCTGGTGGTGCAGCAGTGAAGTACTCAGCTGCTAACTGAGGGATCTGTAGTTCACACCCACCCAGAGTCTCCATGGGAGAAAAGACTTGGCAATCTGCTCCCATAAAGATTTTCACCTTGGAAACCATGTATAGGGTGGTTCTGCCCTGCCCTATAGGGTTGCTGTGAGTCGGAACCGACTTGACAGCACACGACAACATATACTTTCTAGACTCAGGTGGCATCTTTCCTCCTTTAACAACCTTGTTTATTTGCAGATCAAAGGCATTTTCCTACACCTTGAATTATTTTCTATTGACAACGGCCTTCTGACTCCTACAATGAAGGCTAAAAGATCAGAGTTACGGAATTATTTCCGGTCTCAGATAGAGGAACTTTATTCTACCATCAAGGCCTAACGTGAAGAAGAAAGCTTGGGGAAGAGAAAAAAAAAATACACACACACATACACACACTACTCCACGATCTCTTCTGCTGATGATGGCCTCTGGTTAGTAATTTTGACTACAGCAAGCATAGGGAAGGAAACATTAATATTTTTTACTTGTCCACTCGGGGTTCTTGTCATAGGAGTATTAGAGGAAATGGAACACTGCCTTATTGTCACCTCGTGTTGCAGACCATATTTATAATGATAAACAATTTCCAAAATGAGCCTTAAAAATTGTAAAGGGAAAATTATAAATGTACTAAGTTATTTGAGACTTGCTCAGTTAAAAAGGTGGGTGTTAAAACTTCTGTCTCTGTTTTTCTAACCAAGGGGTTAGGACTTTGCTGTTTCTGAGATGTGTGTTACTTGCTGCAGATTCTGCAGTTGTCTGCTGCTCTAAAGAGTACAGTGCACTGGAGGGAAACTGTCATTTAAGAACAAGAACAGTTTTCCAGGCTGGAGAATGTCAAAGTGGACCAGAGATTTTTTTTTTTTTTTTTCCCAAACCCTGCTCCCTTCCTTTCCCCATCTCTTACACACACACACATCCCTTCTGATTAAGGGTTGTAAAGCTCGTGCTATTCTCTCCAGTTCCCTCTTGTTCCTGTTGGAGCACAGGGTTCATAGGAAACAGGACAGAGCCAGCTCAGAACAGTGCAGAGGTCGAGTCTCGGATGAACGCTCACCAGAGCGAATGGATTCTCGCTCACACAGAGCAGATGTCTTGGCCCCTGTTCCCTGGTTCCCTCCCTCCATCCCTTCCCAGGGCTTATTGAAAAATCTGCCTTAGACTCTACAGGGAAGACAAACATTTCAAGAAGGAGATAATGACCTACATAAACCATGCTCAACTGTGACGCCTGAATAACTGTCCACTTTATCTTCACTACACCAGTCACCCTTTGTTTGTAATGGCCAACAGATTTTTAATGTGTTTTCATATCAAAAAGGATTGTGGTGTGGTTAACTTGCTTTTTTCCCCAGAATAAACTCTCAGGCAAAGCATGTCTTTAAAAATATTAAGGGAGTAGATTTTCTTGGGTACTTGTTGAAATGGACAGTAATAAGCAAATGTTCTTTCTTAAATCACAATGCTACCTGATTTCTATGAAATGTCTTTGATAAGCCAAAATTCTACAATGTGTAAATCTGGACAAAATCATTTCTTGGGATTAACTTCTTGAGGGATTTTTTTTTTAAGTTAATTTGGGAAGTTAGCAGCATTTTGTCTTACTGCAAGCCTTTGCCACATATGACTGAATTATTGTTTATACATTGAAAGCAGTTGGTTTTGGATATGTAAAAGTACATGTATTAATCAAGCACAACAGGGTTTGCACTAAAGAATTGTCATTGTAATAACACTATTTGGTAGCCTAACTTCATATGTGTGTTCTTAATTGCACAAAAAGTCAATAGTTTGTCACATTGGGGTTTTGAATGTTTGCTTTAAGTGTTGGCTATTTCTATGTTTTATAAACCAAAACAGAATTTCCAAAAACAATGAAGGAAACCAAAATAAATATTTCTGCATTTCAAGTGAGTGAAGGAAGCATCTCTTTTAACATCATGTGTAGTGTTTGGGCAGCCTGTCATGTATTTGAGCAAAGAGCAAGAAGGGCCCTCAGCCCCAGCTGCCTCGTGGAGCTTCATTTCCTGCTTGGGGCTCCTGCCTCTCAATCAGTAGTTCTCTGACACTTCACAGGTCTGATCAAGCCATCTCTGACAAAAGTCCTAACGTGTTGTGGAGAAAAACATCCTGGCATGAATAATGTGGATACCATACCATCAATTCCCCGGGTTATAAATAAGATCTGTTACTGTGTGTTTAAGAATTTGTAGGCCAGTTGGAACAGGTGCATATGGTGGTTCTAATTTAGGCTTATTTCTGTACAATAAAAGGTGAAGCCACTTCCATGATTTAAAAGCTGCACGTCCAGCAAATGAAGGTGATTGTAATGAATTTGTTTTAAGTAGGAGTGGGTTTAAGTCCTTTCACAGTGAGAGCAAATTTACATAACATTATAGGGCAAGTAAGAGTTGTCCCTAAGTTGGTGTTAGGGGTGGGGTGGGAGGGTGGGGATGGGGACTGCCTGTGTTCTTGAAAATCCAAACTCTCTGCTGGAAAGCTCCATTCCTCAGAAGATACTGGCTGCAGTTGGTGGTTCTAGATTTATTACAAAACTGTTGTATTATAGAACTGTTTTAGAAGATGTCTCATTTACAGCAGCAAACTTTTTCTTTTCCTCTACCCTTTCCTTCTGTTTTTCATGTTTAGAAAATTTTCGTTCCCATTGTATTAGTTAAGGAGCTCTGGTGGTGTAGTGGTTAAGGCATTTGGCCGCTAACCAAAAGGTTAGTAATTCAAACCCACCAGCCACTCCACAGAAGAAAGATGAGCTCCATGGAAGAAAGATGAGGCAGTCTGCTTCCATAAAGATTTACAGCCATGGAAACCCAATGGGAATCACTATGAGTTGTAATCAACTCAATGGCAGTAACTGTAATAGTTAATCCATTGTAAAAATGGTGTGGTGGCAGTGTTGTATTATTAGGAAGAAACTATGAGTAATGCTGGGTGACAAATGTTTTATAGGTTTGTGAATTTTTAGGAATCACCAACTATGACTCTAATAATATCTGTTGCAACCAAGTCCATTTCAACTCATGTTGAAATTGTTAATTGTTATATGCCGTCGAGTCGGACCCTACTCATTGCGACCCCTCCTTGGGTTTCTGAGGCAGTATCACTATGGAGGTAGATTGCCCAACCTTCCTTCCATAGAGTGGCTGGTGGGTTTGAACCGCCAGCCTCCTGGTGCAGTCAAGTGCCTTAGGCAGAACTGCCCCATAGGCTTTCCAAGGCTGTGATCTTTCTGGAAACAGACTGCCACATCATTCATCGTTCTCCTGCAGAGTGGCTAGTGGGCGTGAACTGCCAACCTTTTGGTTAGCAGACGAGCAAAACCACTGCACCACCCGGACTCGTTTGTCAGCATCTAGAAGTTGCTTTACCAGGTGACCTGAGGAAGATGTGTGGATAGGATATGAAGGAGGGGCCAGAACAGACCCCAGGGTGCCCTCTGATACTTGAATGAAGGAGCCAGCAATGAGAATTAAGAATTATCAGCCATGGAGGAAGTTGGAAAACTAGGAATGTCTTGTCATTGAAGCCAATAGAGAAAAGTGTTTTAAGAAGGAAGGAGAAGGATCAATTACACTGTGTACTGTTGAAAGGTGGAATAAGGTGGTGACAGAGGAAGGCCCACCAGATTTGGCAATGGAGGAAACCTTGAGAATAAATGTTCTAGCAGAGTAGGGAGGACAGAAACCTTTATGGAGTGGGTTGAGGCATGAACGCCTGGAAAATTGAGAAGCAGGGTAGACAGCTGCTCTTTGAAGTTTTGTTATAAAGAAGATGAATGGATGGTAACTAGAGAAAGATGTGCAGTTGAGAGGTGTGGTTTTGTTTGCAGGTGGTGGTGGTTTTTAAGATAGGAGATACTACAGCATAATGATATGCTGATGGGAATGACTTAATAGAGTGAGAGAAATGGGTGATTCAGGAAAGGGAAGACTGAGGGAGACAAGTCCTAAGCAAAGGGAGGGTAAGAATTCATAGTCAAGTGGAGAGATTGACCATGGATAGGATACTTACTCCATTGCAACAGGAAGAGAGAAAGGAAACATGGGTTAGATGTAGGTAGAGCCATGATGGTTGAGGTGAAAGATTGGAGAGCTTCTGTTCTTTTCAGCTAAGCATTATCTCTATAATGTCCCTGGTAGTGTAAACTGTTTACCCTCAACTGCTAACCAAAAGGTTGGCAGTTTAAACCCACCCAGTGGTACCATGGAAGAAAGGCCTGGCAGTCTATTTCCACTAAGATAACAGCCAAGAAAGCCCTAGGGGCTAGTATTACCCTGTACGTGAAGGCGTCATGAGTTGGAATGGATTTGACAGCAACAGGTTTGGTTTTGGTTTTATTATCTCCATGTTATGCATGAGAAAATTGAGTCTTGGAGAGATCAGCTAACTTGCCCAGAGTCAGACATCTAGTAAGTGTCTGAGCTAGACTTTCTGACTCCAGGGCCTCTGTGCCTAGGTCACTTTTTGCCTTTCCTTTCTGCCCATGGTGGGACCCCAGTGCCTTAGGTATCCTGAGCATCCAGTTACTCTGTTGAATGAGTAAACTTAATTAGCCAATCCTCAGTGCAGACAAACTTTCCAGTACAAATCAACCAGTTTGCAGGTTTAGGTTAGTAGTGCTACAAAGTGTTGTTAGGTGCTATTGAGTCAACTCTGATTCATAGCACCCTGTGTACAGCAGAATGAGATACTGCCCCCTCGTGCACACCATCCTCACAGTCCTTGCTATATTTGAGCCCATCATTGGAGCCTTATGTCAGTCCATCTCATTGAGAGTCTTCCTCTTTTTCACTGACCCTCTGTTTTACCAAGCATGACATCCTTCTCCAGGGAATGGTCCCTTCTGACCACATGACCAAAGTAGGTGAGATGAAGTCTGGCCATTTGCTACAAAGTGGAGGAGGGTAAATGCCATGGACTTTGGAACTTCCTTTCCATGTTTTCATCCTTATTTCCAGCCCGTTTCTTTTCATGGCAGCATAAGCTGGTGAAACAGAAGAGGAGCCAAGAGGTCTGCACTCACATACGGTTGAACTGGCCAATGGCCCCGCTGAGCAGGAGGACAGAGGGGAGCGAGTCCTTGTGGCACTTTGTGAGGAGAGGGCCATGGGTCATTTGGACTGGTCAGGCCAAGAGCTTTCCTACCCAGTCCTCAGTTGGGAGGATTCTATCAGCCTCCAGCATCCTCACTTAATACGGATAATGACGGGTGGTGAGTCAGACTGGAGGGGACTCTCCTAAGGTTCCCAGCACAGAGGTGACCTTCCATCTCTTGTCAGCAAACCATCATCTGTGCTCAGTGCTGAGAAACTCAGGCTCCAGGTTGGCCTGGCACCTGTACAGTGTAAACTCCACAAAGGCTAAACAAACTCCCTGGACTCTCTTTCCCCCACTGTGTCTGAGTACACACCCAACTGTGTGTTCATATTAAATCCACTGCTTCACTCAGCACAAGTAATTAGGAAATTGCCCCACTTTACTTAGGAGCCATATATTGAGCATTAAAAAAAAAAGTCTGGAAGTTCCAGTAAGATGGCAGAATAGGCAGAAAGACTGCACAGACCCTCTTTAACAAAGAAAAGGGCAACCAATTAACACAGATACAGAAGATAATCCTGGACCTCTGAGTCTTCAAGAGAAGGATATAGAAGTGGACTAAACTCCAACTACCAGAAGAATTTACATGAAAACACCAAAAAAGGAGACATACAGAGCTGTGGTCTGGCAGCGATCCTGAAGACACAGACAGCTTGTATATTGCCAAGTGGTGGTAGGACCTAAGAATTAACCCAAAAATCATGCTAGCCAGGGACTGCATGGAG